CCTGAAACGTTTCGATAAAGAGAACCGTTTGATGAGATGAAATACTCGTCCTTTGTTAATTCAATGAAGACTCCTGAGCAGTTTAATATGGGTTGTTTGCACACTGTGAGGACCCCTGTGGGAACGTATGACCCGTTCTTCAATTTGGTCAGTTCCTTCGTGTAAAATTCAATGTTTTGAAACGTTTCTCCAGTAGCCGTGATAGTAACTGTATCTCCTTGCACTGTATATTCATCTGGTCGGAAGATTTCTCTTTCAGGACAATTAAAATACCTCATCATTACCTTGAAGACAGTAAAGATTGTGCCATTAAATAGAATGGAAAGAGAGCTCAGTGCAGCCTTGACACTATGAACAGAAAAGTCCTCCGATATCGTTTGGCATAAATCGAGACTAAAAACTGCGGTGACCGTCGTCGTAGGCTTATGAGAACCTGGATAATATTCCTCCGTTTTAGTCGTGATTCCGGAAATACATGTGTCATTTACATCCAACTTATTGACAATGGCTTGATTCACGTGAGCCTCAGTTATGAGTGGAAGATACAGAGATGAAATATTAGGACGCATAAGAATTACAGATATGAAGACTCTTTTACTGAAGGCAGTCAGATCAGAAGCACTGATACCACGGCGGCAGACTTGGACTAAAAAGTCATAGACCTGACCTCTTGGACAATGAATTTTTGTTATTTCTCTAGCAGGTGTTTCCCTTTGGGTGGGAGAGTCAAGGTCGAAAAGACTTTCATACCCTTGTTTTATCCCCGCTGCGGCCATCAACGGTGATAAATTGAATAAACCCGTCAGATCTGCGGTGGTATTTGCATGTAATGTGAACCAATTATTGAGAGTAGAATTCCAATAACTTTCTCCTCCACCTGCAGACTGATTGCCAACATTTCTGCGTCCCCTTTTCATGTCTTTTTCTACGAGAAACGAGCAATTTTAGCCAGGATTAAGTTTTTAAATATACGAATAACGTAGTCCCGCAAGCTTTTAGCAAACACAAAAATATATTGAACAAGGAGTGAAGGTTCAAGCCCCGGCCAGACCAACCAACACTCAGGGTCTTAAAATAACTGAGGAGAATTTGTTACCTTTCTATGATATCAAGAAATAGATGGATATTCTAGTATTCTCGGATAAGGACGAATAAACCGTAGGCCCCGTCTCCTGCAGGGCTAGGGATAAGAGACGTTAATTTCCCACGCACGAGATTAGACA